GCTCATAATTGCATGTCAAGAATGGAGGACCACTTCACGGAAGAGGTGAGAGATGGATGACTACTTTGTCATAAGACAGCATGACAAGGATAGTTTAGATAATTTGTTGTTTTTAATTAACAAGATTGATTGCAATGTTGAGTTGACAATGGAGATAGAGATCAACAATAATTTAGCCTTTTTAGACGTCTTAGCGATCAGAGCGGGTGAAAAGTTAAGTAGGGATGGGTATAGAAAGCCAACATGCTGGCTTTATACTTCACTTTTTCTCCAATCATAGTTACAGAACAAAGTTTGCAGTTTTAAAATCTATGATTATTCGGAGCATAAGACTGAAAATCGGCTTAAAATAATATGTCTTGACAATAACTATGCCTTAGGATTGATTAAAAATAACATTATATTAATAAAGAATAGCTTTTTGAATACGTGTGGAGAGAGGAGGAGACCTTTTCTCATGTTTTTTTTCTTTACATTCGTGCATTTTCTCTAAAAGGAGAGGCGAACAAGTAAGGAAGTGGCGAATAAAAACTTTTAGAGGGAATGTTTATCCATTCTCGAGATTGGGTTGCCGCAAAATAATGTGTTCATGTGGTCGCTTTTGTGTTGGAGAGACTTGTCGTCCCATTCGACAAAGCGTGGCTGAGCACCGGCCAGAAACGGGACACGAGATTGAATGGTCTCAAAGTTGTCGTTTCGCTGATTATGGCATGTCTGCGGCTAAACGTAAAATTAGAGAAGCCACCAAAATCAACTGAATAGGAAATACATTAAATGAAAGGAATACCGGCAAGTAGAAAAGTATAAATTATTTGTGCTCAATTGATAGACTAAGGGATAGAGAGGGAGTTGAGTCACTTTTCTGTACTTTTAGCTCACTCTTTCTCTCTCGCATTGCGACAAAAAAGACAAAATAGGCTCATCAACAAAACCAGACGAGTGTCCGACCTTGCGCATGTTTGTAGAAAAGGGTCATCAAACCTTGATGGTCGAAAACAGACGTCACTTTTTGCTGTCATCACTTCGGGTTTCCTGCATATGCGAACACAAACAGACACATACAAATACTCACAAGCATCGAAGTTGACATATGACCGTAACTAACAAAATCACTTTATACTTGCTCAAAGAGGTCAGATGTAGAGTATAGATACCACTTTTTAGGGATTTGCCGGTGAGTTTTCTTGACTCGTTAGTTTCACTTTTGTTGTCACGATGATACCTCGCTCTGATGATGTTCGTCACATGACGGAATCGAAGGTGATTGCCTCGGAAACAGCTTCAGCATGAATCTGCCAGTTAAACCAATCAACAGCTGGTCAATTGGAATCCGTCGCTGGTCGTTTTCTGGTGGAACCGACCTTCGAATCTCTTCACCCAACCAACACTTTCACTCGAAATAGAAGTAAGCTCAACAATTATGAAACCAAATATTCCTCCAAACCCAACTTTTCTTCGCATCGGTTAATTTTGAAGACAACTCTTCTGAACTGAATGTACAGGGCACATTCTTTCTATCCTTTGAGTGGCATGTGTTAACAAAATCCAACATGTGGTAGGACCTGGTCATATGCAGTTTCCAAACGAGATGTATTTGGCCCATTTCGTCCCGGGCCCTCGAGTGACTCGAATGCCTTCCCCAGGCTTGGCAACTGGAAACCATGGCGGTCAGCAGGGCGTGATTGCTGATTTGCCACAAGTACATTAAAAAATGATTGAATCGTGCGTTTGCATGTACTTATGAGAGAATTAATAATTCTCATTTTTGGTTTAAGAATAGGCTACCAACAGGTCAGATATACCCTATTTGGTTAAGGTGATGAAGGACTAGCAGTAGAATGTTTTCATTGTTTCCCAAAAGGTATTCTTACTCCGACCGGACCAAATTGGGCTACAGTTTCGATTTAACCTGAACTGGTTTAGTCAACTTCCACAGCGGGACTCGAACACGGGTCATTAGCCACAGGAAAAGTGTGAATTTCAAAGAAGAACATGCCTATCGCCATAATATATTCTGAGGCGAGAAAGTATAACTTATTTTTTCGTATATAATTAGGTTTACAAAGCAGCCGCTTGATCAAATATGCCATTGTGGGGAAATTAATCTATCGAATCATCCTAAACGAAGTAAGGTGGATACATCTCATGCATCTAATCTGGTAGTAGCATCGAGCGCCTGTTTCTAAACCCAAAATAGGAATTATCATTTCTCTCTTGACTACATTCAAACAGGCGACTTGATGACTTTTTAGAGTATTTTTGGCAAATAAAGAATCAAATCGTGCTTTTCTAACTCGCATTCGGTCGCCAGACTGGGTCTCAGCCCCGGTACCCCTTCTCGTCGTGACTCCACATGTGCCAGTCACGTTTCCGCTGCCTAGTCGCCATGCCACTTAAGGCTATGACTCAGCTTTGGCATCATCCAAGGTTAGTAAATAGGTTGTTATGACTACCAGTTGATTAGGGATTTACCTTCTTTTGTTGAAGGTGATGAAGGTGGTTGAGCTTTTCCCACAAAAAATCGGTCCGTTTCAGGTTTTCGCTGCGTTTCACAAAGTCCAGCCTCGTACAAGGTTGAAATTCGAGTCGAGTTTGGGTAAGAATAGATTTTAGAAAGTAAAATTGTATGAAATGGAATGGAAACATAAGGCCTGTTTATGTGATTTTGATCGTTAAACTTACACTCCCTCCTAACCTCACATGGAAATAGGGTGAATACAATTCTCATCCTTCCAGAAAGCTTGAGGGAAAGTTGTTTACGGTGCAAGTTCTATTTACAAATGAATTGCTTTTGTATACCAATTTGATGTGGTATGATTGACCTTTTCCAATCAAATTCTCTTCACATGCTAGCAGAGACTGGACATCAGCCTTCTTCGAGCCCGGGTCCACGACGGACCGGTCTGGGGACCTCGTCCTCGGTTGGACAATGGCCAAGATACCATTAGGAGTCAGAAAAAGTGGCTTTCTTCATTGTACCGCAGACATTAGCATCGCTTCGGTCGACTCTAAATCTGCACACTCACACAGCGTACACTCATACACACAAACATACACACTCTGTAACAGATACTCACACATTCTGGCAGTTTTAGTTACCATCCAACATAAGAGTAGACACTCGTCTGACCAAATTGGGCTGTTTTTAATTAAGTGGTTTTCGAAACTATTCGCAATTATTGAATATGATCTTAGTAAGCCTATATAAATTACAATGATTTAAGGACTGATTATTAAGTTTGCCAACATAATCAGATGAGTAAGCCTTAATGTTTCTTAATGTTGTCCCGGAAAATGTTATTTCTTTCGGGGTAGACGGCCGTTTCGATATCGTCTAGGCCTCGGGACGGACCAAACTCGTAATTTTCGTGGAGAATTTACCACTTAACTACACAACCACAAGTTAAAGTGGATGACAAGACAGATGTGGCATTCAAGACAAGACAGGCTGCGCCTAAAACACATTTTTATTATGAGTTTGTCGATTAGGGCAAGCATATGCTGTCATTGTGTTCGGCGATGCTACTTATCCTAGGTATAAGTAGTATACGAAATTACTTGTAAATAAAATAAGCAACTTGCCCAGTTGGGTTGGCAAACACATATTTACGCGCTCGACGATTCTACTATAAATGTATGATTTATACCTTAGACCTAGGGACCTCAAGCAGACGCGAATTTCAATGAAGCGTCGGCTTCTTCCATATCGCATTTATTGTGGGACAAATAGGATTTAGGGAGAGAGAGAAAGACCAAATGAGGAACTCTTTTCCGCCGAATTGGTTGTTCGAGAGACAACTTTGCATCCTGTCCACGAATGAGGTGGCCAGTGGTCTCGACTGTGCTTGCTGACGCATGACTTGAAGCGAGTGGCTCATCTTTCAGCCTCTCCCTCCTCCTGTAGGGTCTGCCAGGCCGACAGGGTCAGGCCGGATATGTGGGCGAGCGCGGTGATCCAGGCGAGCCGGGATCACCGGGCGAAGCCGGTCTGATGGGCATGAGCGGGGCACACGGACAGACGGGCGAACAGGGTCCACCGGGCGAACGCGGTCTGACGGGGGCACGAGGAGCTCC